CCCTCCCAGCACCCCTCAACACCCTGGACGGTCTTCCTCGGCACGAGAACTGGACAAAAGGGCAGAGCTCTGGGAAGCCGCTCAGTATTTCACTCACGCCCTCCCATTCTGCATATGAGGGGAAGTGAGACCCAGAGAGGACACTGACTTGACCAAAAATCCCTCAGTGACGGCCCCACTCTCAGGCCAACTGCCACTTTCCCAAGCAACCACAGGCCTCTGGCCCTTTAGCAGCAGCTTCTTGGGGGATCAGAGGCTGCGTGGATGTGCCCGGTATGAGTGTCTAGGGCCTCGGCCCCCTGCGAAATTCCAGAGAGCTTATAGCTGCCTCCCCCGTCCCTGGGACCCTCACAGCCTGAGATTGCCAAGCACACCTGGGAGGAGGCACCTGGGCATAGAAATGTACCTGGGCCATGAGGGAGTCAGGGAAGAGGGTTCCCCCGAAAGTGAGTAACTTCCATCTACTATCTTCCCCTGGGGCCCAGCCTGGCCGTGGGAGGGTGGGGAGAGGGCCAGCGATCCCAGGCTCATACAGACGCTGCTCCCCAAACCACAAATTCTCAGGAGCAGGCTTGTGTACTTGGCAACAGAGGAGCCAAATCTGGGGCCAAAAGTCCTCTCTGCAGGGGCCCTTGATCCCAAATACCTCAATTTACTCATTTGAGAAATAGGTACAGCCTCTTGCTCCCCAGGGGCTAAATACGTCAAGAGACAGGAGGGCACCGTGACTTAATGTGGGGGCCTGGAGCCAGGCAATCCAGGCTCAAATCACAGATAAGCTACTTGCTAGCCACAATCTCAGTGTCCCTGTGTGTAAAATGGGTATGATAATAACAGTACCTGCTTCCTGGGAGTGCTGTGAAGACTGAATGAGATAAGCCATGCAGAGTAACCAGCACCTAATGAGTACTCAATTAAACGTGCGTGATTACCAATGGTATTCTAGACCACAGACACACACCTGCTAAGCCACCTCGAGGAGGCCTTCTGCTCCTCCAAAGAGAGGACACCCTGTCACTGCTCGAGCCATGCCTCAGATCCACTGAAGATGGGGAACTGTGCCCAGAAGGTTAAACCACCAGTCCAGCTTCGCCCCTGGGGTTGCATGCCAGGAATTGGGGAAAAGAGGCCAGAGAGGAGACAAGGTCAAGCTAAAGGAGGGAGTGTAGAAAGGGGGCTCCTGGGTACAGGTACTGGCCCTCCAGGCTTCCCCAAGGGCCTGAGCATTAGGAAGCTTAGGCTTCCAGAACATCTAGGCCCCTTGCTGGATGTTCTACATCTATGACTTTCTTTCTCACATTCTTTCTCACAACTCTGAGCGGCATTATTGTCCCCATTTTGCAGACAGAGAAACTGATGCGGGGAGTGATCTGTGCAGGGTCACACAGTGAATCAGTGGCAGAGGATTAGAGAACTCCAGGTGCCTGGCTTGTACGTCAGGGTTCTCAGGGCCAGCCCAGCCCCTCCCAGAGCTTCTGATCCCACTCCCTTCCCACCTCTTGGGCTGTTACCTTGAGGCTGACATTGCTGGTGCTGCCCAGGTCCTGGGCCAGGTCAGGGCAGCTCCGGCCACCCCAGGGCCTAGGAAGGAAGCACAGGAAAGGGAGTGAAGTAGCCTTCCCCCCTCCCACGCTCAGACTGGACTCTGGGGCCCTCCCCTACTTTTCTCAGGGCACACAGGCAGGCTGAGCTTCTGAAACCTTAGGAGTGGGGCAACGTCTACACAGCAGCCTCCCCTCTGCTCCCTCCCCCAGCTGTCTACTCCCCAAATGAGAGGACAGACAGATGAGCTTGGGACAAGAGTGGGGACTAGGTCTATAGTAGAATCAGAATATAGAAAAAGGACAGCGTCTCCATAGTTCAAAAGCTTGCCATGCGATGAGGCCTTCTGGGAGCCAGGCTTAGCCTTAGATAAGGTGCTCACGTGATCTCCTTTGAGCCTCAAAATAATCCTAGAAGGTGGATATTATGCCCCTATTTTTCAGATAAGGAAACTGAGGCCCGGAAAGATGAAGTGATTTGCCTGGAGTCACACAGCTGGTGAGCCTTGGAGTTAGGACACTAGGACCATCCCATTCCAAAGGCTGGTTGGACATCATGGCACTAATGGGGGCAAGATGGGGAAGTGCCTTGACCGTCTCCCCCGTGCACCCCGCCCCCAATCCCGGGCAATCAGCAGGGATCAGAGAGGCCTGTTCCTTAGTGCTGGAGTCCCATTCCCACATCTGGTGAGAACGCGTCCAAAGGCATGGGCTGTATCATCAGGCTGGCCCCTGAGCATGCGCAGTCCCTCCCCTGTCCTCCCAATCCCTGACTCACCAGCAGGCCAACCCTGCCTCCTCTCAAGTGCGGAAAGGGAGGAGCCATGCCACCTGGGCCCTATAGGGCAGGTTCTTGCCAGATCAGGTAATGGGAGAGGGCGTGTCTCCCTGCTGGGGTGGGCAGGGCAGTGGTAGGGTGTGGGTACCCCCTGGGGCACCCAGGCTTCCAGGCTTTCCAGGGTGGCTAGGCCCTCCCCTTCCCCTTTCTCTTTGGGGTGAGAGAACAGCACAAACCCCTCCTCTCCCTCTGCACCTGGTGCTCAGGTACCCCACCCCTCCCACAGCTGCTAAAGACAGCCGTGCCATGATAAGATCAGAACAAATTGCCCGGTAACTACCTAGAGACACAACACCCCAGTGCCTGCGAGCACATTCCATGCGAGCACATTCCATGCTCTTTTCCGATTCGGGGCCTGTGAGCCACTGGGGTCCTCTTCACTGTCCCCCTCCCGGCCATTCAGCTTTGCCACGCAGAATGGAGCGTTTTTCCTTCCACTCCGACGGTGGTTACCAGCAAATGGGCTCAGAGAAAGGAAGCAGTATGTTCAAGGGGACCAGGCCAGCCGCAGCTGGGGTTAGGACGGAGCTCTGCCCAGCCCCCCACCACGGGTTTGCAGTCCTGGAATCTCTCCGGGTAAAAGAGCAGCCCAGTGCTTCAGGATATGGGCTCTGGAGTCATACTGCTTAAGCTCATAACCTAGCCCCACCTCCTCCCAGCTGTGTGACTCCGCAGGTGACTTCACCTCTCCGAACCTCCATTTCCACATCTGAATCACACGAACTACACTTGCCTCATAGCGCTGCTGTGAGGATTAAATGAGATAATCCAGGTAAGGCATGAAGCAAGTGGCAAATAAAGGTTTATTGTTACTACAGTCTGGGGCGACAGGGGAAATCGTCCCATCTGAGGGCAAACGCAGCGCGGTCTGCGACACCTCAGGGGCCTGTCACACTCATCACAAAGGGAATGAAGACGAGAGGGAAGCTGGCCTGGGATGTGACAAAGTCCACAGCGGCAGCGGGGGGCGCCTACGTTGGCCTTTAAACTGTCTCCGGAGAGGAAGTCATCCCCCCTGCCGCCGCCTGACTTCAGGAATTGCAAAAGTTAAAGTTTCAAAAAAGCGCAGGTTGTTTCTAAAAACCATATTCACAGTCATATATCCAAAATCGTAGTACACTGTCACGTGTATTTTTATGCTCTCAGACACTCGTACACGCTTATTTGAACACTCACTACCCTCTAACACACACACACACACACGCACGCACACACCCCTAGAGCCCAGGGGTGCCCCTGCAGACCTCCTCCATCCCCCTCACCTATCCCGGGCTCTGGCCTCCTCCGGGATCCGCTTCCCCCGGCGCTCCCTCCGCAGCCCTAGCCTGGCCAAGCCGCGGGCCAAAAGCGCCCCCAGCCCCGCGTGCGGCTCGGCCATGGCAAGGGCAAGGCCCCGGGCTCCCGAGCACTACAGTCCTCCGGGGCCACGGGGGCCACCCGGATCCGCTCCTCTCCGCTCCTCCGCAGAGAAACGCCTTCTCCGGCCCGCCCCCTTGAACAAACAACGGCCCCGCCCGCAGTCTGTTCGGGCGGGGGACTAACCCCGAGGCGGCTCTTGCCCCAGGACACGTTCTGCAGGGGTCGCACCGCCTGAGTCACACTTCTCCTCCCCGCTCTTGCCGTGCTCTCCGCATGGACTGCGCTATTTCTTTAGGCCTCGGGAGGCTCCAGGGGCACACCGCGTGCCGGCAGCCCCCACGGTGGCCTTGCACGAAGTGGGCGGGAAGGAGGAACCTCGGGCCAGCGAGGCGGCGCTGAACCAGGGGTCTCTCTCCCCCGAGGAGGAGGGGCTAGAACGCAGGGGCGGGGTCAAGACCAGAGAGGGCATGGTCTTGTCGAGTGAGTGGGGCCTTGCCCTAGTGGTTGGCCTATGGTACAGGGCCAAAGGGGTGACCGGGTGGGCTTTACACCGTGACCTCAATTACTGGGCGGAGGAGGCCGAAGCCGACCCTGTCGCTGTAGTTGCCTGGACGCCGTGGGCTCCTGAACGTTCTCGCGCGCGCACCTGGAGGGCGTAAGACTGAGCGTGAAGATCGCTCAGTCCCCTGCGGGGAAGCAGCTCTCATACCCACGGGGGTGCGAGTGGAGCCCCTTGCTGGAACGGTTATGAATGGACGCTGACCTCCTTGTGTTCCTGCCCCGCCACCCCCACGGTGATTGGGGGCTTAGATCCTGGCATGTACAGAGGGAGAAGCACACCCCACCGGACCATGGCAGGGAGTACCAGCGAAGCAGGCACACCGGCTTCCTAGGAACTGAGAGGAAAGTGATGGGAAGCAGCAGATGTACATCTGGGCAGGTGCTGGAACCCTTGTTCAGGAAAGAGAGCAATGTGCCCAGTGTTTGGCAGCACAGTCTGTACCATGCTGAGTCCCAAAAGGCTCGACCACCCGCTGGCAAGCTGAGATGGGAGGGCCAGGACCAGGTCAGGGAGCAGGACCCAAATCCAGCCGGATGTGGATGGCTGCCAACGCCCACCCCATGAGCGGGCATCACAGGCTCTCTCTGGGTGCGTTCCCTGACCTGCTTCCAGGTGAGGTGTGGAATCTGACAGATACACAGTGGCTTCCCCCTCCGCAGATGAAGTCCCAGAGGCCTCAACTTGTCGCAAAGAAAATCTTTTAATTGTTCTGCTCCTGTCCCCTCCCCAGGGCAGTCCTGGCACCAGGGCTCAGGCTGGCTGCCCGCACTTTCCCCCAGAGGCCAAGGACGCCTTGACCTTTTCCAGATCCCAGCCCGTCTGCCTCTCTGATGGCAGCGCCACGAGATCTAGGGCTTCCTAGTGCCATCGGGCAAGGCAGGCAAGAGACGCCAGGGACAGGTGGGCGTGAGCTAGGCTGTGAGGCTGTGGCACGTGCAGGCGGTGGTGCAGCTTCAGGTGAACGTGCTGGGTGAAGCGCTGGGGACAGACACTGCACCGGAAGGGCCGGGCCCCAGAGTGCAGGCGCAGGTGGGTCTTGAGGTTGCTAGAGTTGCTGAAGCGTTTGTGGCACATCTGCTGGGAATGGGCACAGGTGTCAGCTCTGCCCATGTGGCTGGCTCCAGATCTCTGCTCCCACTCCCCACCCTGGACACCCCTCCCCCACACCACCACCACCACCACCACCTCCCTGTGCCTGCCCAGATGCCCTCCGCCCCATGATTTCTCCTGGGACACACAGTGTCTGGCACATTGGAGCCAGGCAGACCTGGGTTAGTATCATGATTCTAACTCCCCTGTGTGACCTCGCATAGGTGACATCTCCTGTCTGAGCCTTGTTCTCCTTATTGGTAACTATTAATTGGTGACTGTTAATACCTAACCTCATAGGTATGATGGACCGAATGAGATCATCACACAGGACCCTTAAGCATGGGCCTACAGCCTTCGTGGGCGTCATTAACATTTACTGGGAGCTGCCACATGCCAGGAATTGGTCTCACAGAGTCTTCCCCGGAACCCTGGAGAAGCATGACTCAGTCCTCGTGTAACTCTTCTAATACAGTGAGAAAGCAGCAGCTCAGAGGAGGAGAGCCATTCGCCAAAGATCACACAAGCTGGAGGGAGAGCTGGGATCTGTACCCAAGTAGCCCACACTTAGAACCACGATGCTTCTTTCTTGCCTGGGGAAAGAATTCCTGCTGTTCTGACCTCCCAAGGGATGTACCAGGACTCAGAGGGAGCAAGAGCTAACACCCAGCTGCTGTTATCTGTAGTGTTTGCATACTTCACATGCACCAGGCCTTCTACTTCTCCAGCAACCCTGGGAAGTAGGTTACCGGTATCCACTCCCTGGGACCTCCCAGCTTTATTATCCTCCTCCCTTAGACACACATTTCTAGTCCTCGCTCCAGGCCTAGGGAGGGACCTCCAGGTTCGGATTCTGGCCCTTCCAGGCTGACAGGGGTCATTGTCACCTCCCTCAGCCTCCCTCACTGCCTCCACCCTTGCCTCTAGTCCTGTCTCCACTTGCTCAAGAGCACTGGGGAGAGCAGGCTACAGGGCCCACCCATCCAAGAGCCTGGAACTACTCACCAGCCTGCAGGAGTACAGGGAAGGGGAAGGAGGGTCTCACCAGGCATTCATGGGGCCGCTCCCCCGTATGCACCAAGTGGTGCTTCTGCAGGTGGGCGAGCTGGGTGAAGCTCTTCTGGCACAGGCCACATTGGAAAGGGCGCTCCCCACTGTGCACTCGCAGATGGACCTGAGCCAGGTGTGGGAGAAAGGCTGCCAACTGCCCAGAAGCCTCCAGCAGGTCCTGTCTCCCCACATCCCCACAGGACCCCTATTTGGCATCAAGATTTCTGAGTGCCCTTGCTACCCTATCACTGCCTTCATGGCCTCTCTTCCATTTTTTCAGGATGCCCTTACTCTTTCTGGTGCCCTATGGGCTGGGAGGGGACAGTGATCAGAAGGCTAGGTGAGGGATAGCCCATGTATATCTATCCTGAGCAGCGCTGCTCAAAGTGTGGTCCACAGGGGTGCCTGGGTGGCTCAGTCAGTTAAACAACCAACTCCTGGCTTCAGCTCAGGTGGTGGTCTCAGGGTCGTGAGATCAAGCCCTTCATTGGACTTCATGCTTGGCGCAGAGAGCCTGGAATCTCTCTCTCTCTGACCCTTCCCCCTGCTCTCCCTCACTCTCTCAAATTTTTTTTTAAGTTTTTATTTATTCATTTGACAGATCACAAGTAGGTAGAGAGGCAGGCAGAGAGAGAGGAAGGGAAGCAGGTTCCCTGCTGAGCGGAGCACCCTATGTGGGGCTTGATCCCAGGACCCTGAGATCATGACCTGAGCCGAAGGCAGAGGCTTTAAGCCACTGAGCCACCCAGGAGCCCCTCAAATAATCTTTTAAAAAACATTTATTTAGGGGAACCTGGGTGGCTCAGTCATTGAGCATCTGCCTTCAGCTTAGGTCTCAACCCCAGGGTCCTGGGATTGAGCCCCGCATTGGGCTGCCTGCCCAGTGGAAGCCTGCTTCTCCCTCTCCCACTCCCCCTGCTTGTGCTCCCTTTCTCACTGTGTCTCTCTCAAATAAATAAAATCTTTTAAATTAATTAATTAATTAATTAAAAACATGTATTTATTTTTTTGAGCTCAAGCAGAGGAAAGAAGCAGAGGGAGATGGAGAAGCAGACTCCCCGCTGAGCAGGGAACCCCACCCCCCAAGCCGGGTTTGATCCCAGGACCCCAGGATCATGACCTGAGCCCAAGGCAGATGCTTAACCAACTGAGCTACCCAGGTGCCTCCTAAAGCAAATAATCATAGAAAAAAAAGTGTGATCCACAGACCAGCAGCATCAGCACCACCTGGGAGCGTGTGGAAAATGCAGATTCTTGGGCCTTGCCCCAGACCAGATGAATCCAAAATCTCTAGGGCTGGGACCTAGGAATCTGCATGTTTCCTAGCTCTCCAGGTTTGAATCTCATTAAAGCTTAAGAACTCACACCCTGGAGGACCTCGAAGGGCCGTTCTTCAACTTCAGTGTGACCAGCACGTGCAGAGAGCCCCGTCTCTGCTGACACACAGACAAGGGCCCTGGTGCCCCTGCCCCGGGCGATGTGGATGACAACGCCCACAGCAACATGCTGCTTTGTAGGGTGCAAAAAGCTGGTTGTCAGGTCATCAGGTCCATGCTCTAGACTCACTAAAATCTACACACTCCCCCACTGGACCTTCAAACAAATAAGCAGGAGGAGGCTTAACAGGAGATCCAAAAAGATAGTTGTTCAGGAAAGGTGTTTGCAGTAGACCTTGAGAGGCTAATATCAAGGCCTAACCTCACCCTGAAGTCCAAGTGACCTCAGACAAACCTTTCCTTCAGTTTCCCCCTTTTTTTGATTGAAATGAGATGTTCTCAAAGACAGTGTCTTAGGGTGGAGAGGACTTTCGTGGCCATCTTGTCCTGCATCCCCTTTCTGCAAACATGACAGTGAGGGACCCAGTGAACCATTCCAGCTCACAGCCTAGGGGCTGCCCAGAAGTTGCTCCAGCTTTCAGGTCCTTGATTCTGGAAGCAGGATAGGAGGGGGCCATGGAATGATGCTGAGGGGAGCAACGGAGCCCGGGAGGCGGATACCTTGAGGTTGGAGAGTTGCCCGAAGTTCTTGCTGCACACGTTGCACTCGTACAGGATTTTGCCATTCTCTTTCTTCAGCGGGTAAGGCAGAGCTGTGGTGCCTGGCCGGGAGCCTGTGGGTGCCCGCTTTGCTGGAGCCGCCCTGCCCACGAGCTTTGGCCCGGGGGAGAGAGTCCTGGCAGTTCCAGGACCTTGATCCCAGGCCAGGGAAGGTTGGCTTTGGCCAGAGGCTTGGGAGGCCCCTGGGTAAGAATACAGGGTCTCCCTCTGGGCAGCGGGGTGCCCAGCCTCATTGACACTCATCGGCAAGTTGGTGGCATAGGAGGGGTCTGGGGGCAGCATGAAGAGGGGGGGACATTGGACAGAAGGTAGGGCCCCATAGGTGAACAGGTGAGGTGGAGGCAGAAGTGGATACCCGGGATAGAAGGGGTAGAGGCAGAATGGGAGTTCTTCAGAGATGGGAATAGGCAGTGGGCAGGAGCAGATGGCCAAGGGCCTGGGGCTCTTCCTGTTCTGCCAGGGGACTGGGGAAGAGCTGGTGTGAGGCGAGAGGGATGGGCAGAGGGCCCCCTCGCCAGCTCTTTCCTGCTGGCCTCCCCTCTTGTCCCTGCTTGCAAAGTACTTGGTCGTGAGTTTCTCATCATCAGTGGAGCCGGCCTGCAGCCCTGGCGGCTGGTGCTCTGAGCAGGAAAAGAAAGACAGTCAAGGCCCAGCAGCCTGGTGGAAAGTTCTGCTCCCCATCTATCTGGCCCCCTAGCTAGCTGGGGGTGGGGGAGCACTCTAGCCTGCCAGCCTGCTGGATGACTCGGACAGAAGTTCCCCTTCTCGGGGCCCCCCTTGGTCTGCACTTACCGACAAAAGCTAGTGTTTATGCAGAACTCAAGCGTTTTAGGGAGAGAAAATGATTTGAGAAGCTTATTAAACATCCAGGTGGAAAAGTCAAGTAGGCAGTTGGATGAATCGGTTTGGAGTTTGGTTGGTTGGCTGGCTGGTTTAGAGTTGAAAAGAGGGGTCCAAGCTGAAGACATACGTCTGGGTGCCTGGGGCCCTGCCTGATGAGACCACCAAAGGGTCAGCTAGATCTGCTGTGTCCAAAATGGGTAGTCACTTGACACATGTGACCCCATTTCAATTAATTAAAATAAGTACAATCAAAAACTCAGCTCCTGACTCATATTAGCCACATTTAAAAGGCTCGGGAGGTATGGTAGCAAAGAGCACAAGAATAGACCAGTGTCCCTGATTGCAGGAAGTTCTATCAGACCGTGCTACTCTCCAGGAAGTGGACAAGAGAGGAGAGGAGGGAAAGAAGGGGAGAGAGGAGACCAGAGCAGGGGAGGGGAGGGAAGAAGGCTCTGGACTGAGTTCCGGAGCATGGGATTATTTAGGAGGTTAAGTAGAGAGGAGCTAGCAAGGGAGACGGAGATGCAACAGCCAGGGAGAAGGGAGATAAGCTAGGAGGGACATCAAATGAAATACTAAAAAGAAAAAAATGCCACAAAGTAGACTGTCTGCTTGGGTCCTCCTTTATTCACTCAGCCAACCTCGCTGAACTCTGTGCTCGGAGCTGGGGAAATGCAGGATGTGGCTGCATGGTTCCCACCCTCCCGAGGTCACGAGTGAGCAATGAAAAGGTGCATTACAGTGCAACAAATCTAGAACAGCTCCTGCACTCCCGCAAGAAGCAACTGGCCTCAGCGATGTGGCCGAAGTCACAGAGCCAGAGAGGGCCGAACCGGGACTCTACCTCCGCTCGCTGGCTCCCAGTCCGCGCTCCTGTCCTATAATAAGGACCCCTCTCGCTCACACATTCTAGGCCAACAAAGCGCCATCGTCAATGCCTGGGACTTTGGCTACATGTACTCCAGATTTCCCTGCCTGAGAAAGCCCCTGTCCCCCCCCCTCCCCCGCCTGTGGCTCAGGTGTCTCCCCGAAACCACCCCCCACCAAGGCGAGGACTCCAGGCCAAAATGTGGAAGTAAAGTGTGCCTGAGGCTCTGATCTCATCGGTGACACTGGGTCCCCTCCCTTTCCTGTCCTGGAACCTAGGAGTCCTCTCCCACCTCTTGCCTCCAGCCAGGTGCAGCCCTCTGCCCTGGGCTTACTTGTGCTCAAGACATCACTTCTGAGACTCTGTGGGGCTGTGCTCAGCGATGTCAGCTGCAGGGTCCACAGGTACAGGTCCAGGCCCTGGGGGTCTGGTGCCGGTGGCAAGGGGCGCAACCAGCTGGCCCAGGATGAGCCACGGGAGTCCACTGTGTCAGAGAGTGGCCTGCAAGCTGAGAAGACCTGGAGGGCAGGAGGCAAGGGGCTTCGGGGTGTGGGGCTGGGGCACCTGTGTCCCTGGAGTGGTTCAAGCTCTAGTTTGATTTCCAAAAGGAGAAGAAAAGCTAAGAGCTGCCCTCCACCAAGTCTGTCATTCAAATGGCTTCCCCAACCTTCAACTGAAAATTTCTTTCCTCAGGGACTTTCATGCCCATCCCAGGATTGCCCTCCTCCTCCCCTCTAGAACCTCTCACTAGCCATGTGCTCTCTCCCACCCTCCCTTCCTGACCACCCTGGCCCCACTGGGTCTCAGACCATCAACTGTGCTTTGAATGGAGCCAAGATGAACTTGGAGAAAATCATCAAAGACTGAAAGCCCCCAAGGTGGCACTGGGTTCCCCTTGTGCTAAGGCCCAGACCACATGCTAAGCCAAGCATCCCACAGGCCCCATCCCTTCTGACACCCCACAGGAGGAGTCCAGCCCCTGGGGCCTGGGAGAGGACCTCTGGCACTTCAAGGGCCCATTGCCATGATGTGCTGGGTGGGGTGGGGATGCCCAGGACCAGGGAACAAGGGGAATCTGGTTCCTTCAGATTTTTCCCCACTGCATCCTGACATCCTCTCCCTTCCATAATCAGGCTGACCTCAAAGAGGGGCCTGGGATCCCTCCTTACCTCGTCACTTTGGCAGAGCTGGAAGTCCAGGCTGGAGGACAGGGAGCCCCCTGTCTGCCCTAGAGGATGAGCCTTCTGGCAACAATGCAAGTCTGGAGCAGATTCCCCCTTCATGCCCTCACTACCTGGGAAAACAGGTCAGTCCCCGGTGAGCAGGAAAGGACCTTCAAAGGGGAGCCTGGCTTCTAGAGCTGGCCCTTCCACCAAGCTATCATGTGACTTGAGCCAGTTGCTGCCCCTCCTGGCCTCTGCTTCCCTGTCTGCAAAACACGAGGGGTGGACAGGTTGTAAGGACTCGTACTGACATGTAGAGGCCAGTAACAGCTCTCTTGGTAGGTGCCTGAAGAGGACTGAATGGAGACACTCAGAGGTGAGGAGCAGAGCTGGCCTTATCCTCATCCCTAGGGAAGAGGAGGATAGAGAGGAAGATCCTCATGGAGGTTACTTCTAAAGGAACTCAGAGACCTGAAGGAACATTCCATATTTCCTGGAGAATACCAGGAATTGAGAAGCCGTTCCCTTCCATGCTGGGAAAGGCTTCTGCCCCCATGACTCTGCCAACCACAGCCTCCCCGCCAGTGGGTGCCCCTGCACCCTCGATCATCCACACGACTTTTCTGGGCAGCTGAGGAACCCTCAGGGCCCTGCCACCCAGACTGCCCAGGCTCAGCTCCCTCAGCAGGAAGCGTCTGAGGGAGTAGGCCAAGAACCTTCTGGGTCCCCTGACTGGCCTGACAGGAAGATGTGCCGATTCCTCTGCTGCCGACTCAGCCAGCGCCCCCCTTCTCCACCTTCTCTCACCGCAGGCCACACAGCACAGGGACCACCTCAGCTCAACAAGTGATCCAAGGTTCCTTCCCATTCTCAGGAGTCGCATGTCTCTTCTCCAGCGCACCCGGGACCCTAGCACATTGCCTCGGGTCTCTCAGCCTTCCAAAACCCAGGCTCCTTTTTCTCTTCCCGGACTCCTCCCAGCCCTGCCCAGCAGAGGCTTGTCACCTGCCTGCACGAGGCTCCTCACCTAGTTCTGCACAGGTTCCCTCTGGGGGATGCAAGGAAGCGGGCAGGCGGGCAGCTGCTGTGGCTGGGGCCCCAGGGAGTGTGAGAGATGACAGGAAGGTGTTACACTTAAAGTCGCCACGAATAGGAAGAAGGGGGTAGGCCAGGCAGGCCGGGGTGGTGGGGGGGGCCCTGCAGGACCTGGTAAGAGGGAGCCACCCACCAGCCCTCACCCACCTGTGGCAACTCCACAGGACAAGGTGCTGATTTTGGACCACCTGAGCTGGGGCTACAAGAAGGTCAGCGTGGGGGGCTGGGGGGCAGGGGGATTGCTATGTCTGGTTCTTAGAGAACCCAGGTGACTGAGTCCAAGAGGGACAGAGCAGGGCTGAAAGGCTGGAGCTGGGGTCCGAGGTGGGGGCCCAGCCAAGTTAGAGGCAGGTAGTGGTGGTGATGGCGAAGACAGTGATGGTGATGCAGGGACAGGAATGGGCACAGACACAGAGCATGGAACCCAGAAGGACATGGGGTAGAGAGTAGGAATCTGGTGCCACAGAGCAGAAGCCCACAAGGCAGCAGATACACCTTCCTCTTTCTTTTTTTTTTTTTTTTTTTTTTTAAAGATTTTATTTATTTATTTCTCAGAGAGCGAGAGGGAGAGAGAGCAAGCACAGGCAGACAGAATGGCAGGCAGAGGCAGAGGGAGAAGCAGGCTCCCTGATGAGCAAGGAGCCCGATGTGGGACTCGATCCCAGGACGCTGGGATCATGACCTGAGCCGAAGGCAGCTGCTTAACCAACTGAGCCACCCAGGCGTCCCTACACCTTCCTCTTTCTTGTCCCAACTCTGGTCTGCCTATCCCAAGAGCCTTTCTCTAATCCAGATACAGCACTGAGGTCCCAATAGGGACAAGAGGTAATTCAAGGACATTGCAAAATACTTGTAGGGCATGAGGAGATAGCGAAAGGGAAGCTCCGTTAACCAGGAAGCAGCTTTTTAGGCCAAGCAAGTTCATTATTTCTGTGAGCAAGAGAAGGTGCATCATTTCTAGAGACTCAAATTCTGTCCAGTGGGTGTGTCTATGTCACACAATGTCTGGCACCGTGAGACACACAGCCCCAACCAGTCGTCAGACTCCACCCAGCCATTCCATCTAGGTGGCCTGGAGCACATGAAGATATCTTGGACTGTTTGCCATGGGCCGGGGCATGTTATCGGTGTTTCCCTGCCCGCCCAGCCCCTGGCTGCTGACCACCTCCACTGTGGCCTCCATCACTTCCTATCATAATTATCTTCCCACATAACTGACTCCTGCATGTCTGGGAGTGTCTCAAGGACAGGGACCACTCTCTATGCATTTTTGTTTCCCGTGAAGACATCTGTTGGGTTTTCTGTATGCCCAGCTTGGGGAGCTTTTCCCTGACATGAGTCTGTGGGGAGGCAGAAGGTGCCTCCCACTATAAAAGCCAAAATAATAAATAAAATCTTTTAAAAAAGTAAAAGCCACAATGGCCACACACTTAATTCTGACCTCTCACTCCCAGCACATGATGCAGACACATGACATGGACTGGGCTGATTGGATGTCCCTGTCCAGATGGGATCAGAAGTCAGTGGCCCTGAAGTGACAGCTTCATGGAGAGTCCACTCTGCACATGATGCTACATGGGCTTCTGGGGCGGCAGAGGAGAGAAAGGGGTTCAGAGAAGGTGGCAGAATCTTCTCGAGGCTGATTCTGAGGTGTGTGGTCCTGGGACTCCCAGCGTCCCCTGACCCAGCTTATTCTCCAAGCCTGCCTCTGCAGCCTTTCCAGATATTGTGAGTTTCCCCAACAACTTTTAAATGAATTGCTTTTCCTAAATCCTCCCAAAAGGGTTTCTATAGCTTAAATTGAGTGTCCTGCATAATATATGCACAGAACAGAAGATGAAGCCACAGGTTTCAGGCTGGAAGAGTCAAGGATCTGAGTGGTGACTTAGCTGTACAGACAGCGGAGGAGCTCCTCCCACAGCACCCCCTGAAGTCTTGATCCACCCAAACTCCATGCACCAAAAACCAGGGCCTTCCCAGCCTCCAAGGCCACAGGGCTTCCTCCCTTACCTCCTTGCTGGAATCACAGGGGAACCCCCGCAGAAACCCTCAGTCCCATCTCCCGAGGCGGAGTCACACACACGGTTGGCTCCCATCTTCCACCTGCCAAATCCACCTCCTGCTGGCATCACACTCTGCTCCCAACTCTCAAAAAAGTCTGGATAACCTCTTGATTAGAAACAAAAAGGAAATCAGCCTTGGAGATTTCTAGATCTCCAATCCCTGAAAGGCCTGGCTAGGATGTCCTGGGAGGTGGGCTGAGGACACAGTCCCTCAAGTTCCCACCCCAAACAGCCTCTACCTGTCAACCTCTTCCTTGCCCCCATCTCTTGGGACCTGCTAGATCTTCTGTCCTGTCAGCCTCTGGGTCCGCTATGATGTCATTAGCCCAACTGTGATGTCGCCATGTCTGACATCCCTGGGGTGGGTGACACAGGCAGGGGACCACAGCCACTTAGCCAGGGAACCTGCACAGATGCCTGGACTCAGGCTGAGCCAAGTCCTCAGGGAGCAGAGGGAATTGGGAAGTGCTTGTGGAAGGGAAATAGGATTCGGGTCCTTCCGAGGTCAGGGGTTGACACCAGAGGGGACTCCGACAAGAGCTGGAAGGCTGGACAGGGGTAATCAGGCTCCCAGCTCGTGCACACTTACTTTTTCCTCTTTTGTGAACGACAAAATAAAACATACTGAGGGTAAACATTTCAAACAGCAGAGAATAAAAAGACAAAAATGGAAGCTCCCCTCCTTTGCAATATCCCCATGGCCAGTGTGAATTTTTTGGTGTTTATCCTTCTAGACATTTATGTATGAACTTACAAACAAGTAAATGAACTTTTTTATTTTATTTTTATACAACGTGGATTATACCATACATATGCCGTTGTGCAGCTCTCTCTATCCAACTGTCTGTTGTGGCCATCATTTCATGCAGAACATATACTGCTGCCTTCTGCTTCTTCCTGACAATATAGTGTTCCTCTGAAGGGATGGACAAACCATGTGGCATTCCTGTATTTTGAACTCCCAGTTTTATCCTGTTTCACGCAAGACTGGAAAAGACCTTCATATGGAAGTAATAAGTGGAGTGATTCAGAATATTAGCTTTGCTGGACTTAATCCCAGCTCTGTGACCTTATAGCAAGTCACTTAACCCCTCTGTGCCTCTTTCTTCATCTGTCAAATGAGGATAATAATAGTATTTGCTTCACAGCGTTCTTTTGAGAAATCCTCAAGTTAATTCATGTAAAGTTCTTAGAATAGTGCCTGGCCCAAAGAAAGCACTTGACAAATATGGATTAATGTTAGTATTGTACATTAATCTTTGCCTAGTTAGGCAAGTATCTGCAAGTCAGCTTCCTAATAGTTTTAAAGTGACAAATGTTCCTGACTCACTTTGGAAGACCAGAATTTGAGCATCAAACCTGGAAAGATTAACTACATTCCATTTTATTCTTTAGCCCCTAGTTGGAGACCACTGTACTCACCCAATGCTGTTCTACACCCCCCCCCCACGCCAGTCTGCACACCACAGTAATTATAGCTTTTGGCATTTGGGAGCTCACCATGTGCCAGGAACACTGCCAAGCATTTTGACATATTTTGCTTAACTCAATCAGCACAATGACCCTCCAGATGAATGCTTTTATTCCCGTTTTACAGGCAAGAAAACTGAAACTCAGAGAAAGAAAGTGACTGACTCAATATCACATGCCCCAAGCTGGGACTGCCATGTCCCAGAGAGGAAGGAGATTTCAAGGAAGAATTGCTAGGGGGGCACCTTGAGGATGTAAAAAGAGCTACCGGTGTGGTACAATAGAGTCTGTATTCCTTTCAGGACTATGAGAACTATGTTTCAGGCGTTGGACTAGTCGCTGGGATTATCACCCATGGAAATATGACCTAGTCCCTGGAAATTCACAGCTCAGTTATCAGAAGGCTTGTTGGATGTTGCTGAAATAGAAAGTGGGATGCAATTCTCAGGACTTATTATTAGTAGAATAGGCACACTCTACTCTGGGCTTCGA